GGCCGCGCCTGCCCCCCCCCCCTCGCCCCGACATGACTGCCTCTCCTGAGGCTGGAGGGGCTTTTTAGCGGCCGTCTCTGGACCCCCCAGGGTTGTTAGTGAATTAGGCGTGCGGCGGAGCGAGGGGTTCGTCAGAAAGGCGCATTGAGTCCTAAAAAAGGTCCACGCGTGCCCTGTCGGGCTTCATCAAGGAGCTGGGGCCACGGGCGTAATCCTGCTCCTTCAAACCACAGTAGGGTGGCAAGCATAGAGGACAGTCTGGTTTCCTGCTACTCTGGTGATATGAAACCCGCCGCCTTCATGCCTTCTGTGTTTCTCATTTCTGGCAAAATCCGCACTCTTTCGCGCACCTTAACTTCTCGCTAACAAACTTAAATTGCGTACAGATGGGTTTATCTGAATCCAAAGATTTATCCAACCTTTCTGCCTCTAGTGACCTTTGCATATTAGGCTTCCCTTCACTAGCACCTTCACCCATGGAATACATGGGACCTTTTTTAATTTGTGTGTTGGTCATCATCGGCCCAAGGCTGAATGCAACCTGACCTAGTCCTTAAATATGCTTTGGGGTAGAGAAAATGCTTCTCTCAGCAGGCTTTAACGCACTTTTTGAAGCTCCTTCCAAAAGGAGGCACTGGGATTAAGGAACCAGCTTCAGCCTCATTTTTCCCTTTGTGTTTTGGACCAGGAACAGCCCATTCTCTGGAAAAGAACTTGCCCAGTCAAAGACCCTGTAGCAGGGCAGGATGCTTCTGACCCCGCCTAGCTCAGGGGTTGGCATGTTTTTGCACAGAGTGCCAAAAACACCCACAACCTCAACTTGTACAATGTTGGTGTTCCAAGTGCATATGGCGGGGGAGCCATGAGGGGTCCAATCCTTGTTGCTGTGCAGCCCCAGCCCCTTCACTGCCATTCACCCAGAGGGACGCGTACCAAGCAAAATGCCTTCGAGTGCCACATTTTGGCACCTATGCCAGGGGTTGCCTACCTCTGACCTAGCTTGGTCTGAAATCTCTGGGGGTCTCTTGGGATTCACACCTAAGCAGATGCCAAGGTTTTGTGGCACCCTTGAAAGGATCTGAAGGCAGCCCAGGATGCCATCAGGGTGCAGCATCACTGTTAAAGACTGACTGAATCAGACAGACTTTTTGGAGCATACCCCTGCCTTTAGGATGCTAAGACAGCAATACAGTTGCAGCAATGGGTGAGGGTGCTAGTGCTAGGGGGAGGAACCTAATATGAAGGGGAACCTAATATGCAAAGGTCACTATAGGCAAAAAGGTTGGATAAATAGAAATTCCCTCAACTAGGAAATAAAGGACACATCACTGGAGGGTGAATAAACAATTTAAGAGGACTCGCTTTAAGTGGATAATGCCATCTGCCTCCCCCTGCTTTGCATTTAATATGGGAGCAGGAGGAGAAGTCTTCCGTGCTTTCTCACTTAATCTGGGACATCTTTGGTGACATTTCCAAGTGTTTCTACTCACACATAAGGGGCAAATTTTAAAACCTTTGTTTCCACTTTTGTCCTCTTGTCTCTGCTAGGTTTTTCGAGCGTGTTCAGCATGTGACAACTCACTTCCTAACTTTTTTTAACTTGGCCCTATGAATCAACCTGTGAATTCATTTTGAAAGCTAGGTCAGTTATTTAGGTTTTAAAGTACAAACTTAGCTCTTCTAAATTATGATAACTGAAAATGCTGAGCTTTTTTTTTTTTGGAAGGGATATTGGTTGTAGTAGTGTTAGTCAAAGGGCATAGGAAGACAAAACTCATGGGTTGGAGCTGATACCTTTTATTAGATCAACTAAATAGTTGCAATTTTTTTCCCTTTGCAAGCATTCAGTGAAAAAAAAACCCAGCTTTATGGGAAGATCTGCATTTAAGAGCAACTTCCTTAGTGTATTATTGACTGTAGCCATATCTTCTGAATGAAAAAGCACACAAATATATTGCTGGGGTCCTCCCCCAACAGAGCATTTCTGTTATTATCAACATCTTACATGTCTTCTGTAATGGGTATGTTTAGTTTGCTGAAGCAGAACAAAAGCAGACAGGCAGGAATCATTAACCCATGTTTTGATAACAAACACAGCACAACTTGATGTTAGGTGAGACATTTCCATAAGAATACATATCAAGAGAGTGCAAGGAAGTTAAACTGTCAGAAAAAAATAATTCTTGGAGACAAGTGAAAAGAAGTTAGGACAATGTGAAAGAGGAGCTAATGAGAGGGAGTAATACCAGGGGACTATTGCGGAAGAGAAGGGGAAATGTAGAAAGCAGTATAGAACAAAACACACTTAATGCTTTTAAACCAAGTCATTTTTTTTGTTCACTGACTTAAGAACAAATCATTCAGACAGAAATGTGAATGAACACTGTACATGTGAAGTTAGAAAGACTTATCGCAATGACTATATTTTGTTAGATTCTAGGTTTGATTTTGGAAATTTAGCCAAGAGTCAGGAGTAGACCAGGTGAAGAAGAAGGATAAAAACAATAGGTGAGGAAAAAAGGTCTGCTTTCTACTTGTACAGGCCATGAAGTAGCACTGTAATAAAAGTCTTGGATGCAACCTAGAGAAGAAAGAACAATCATGAAACCTCTCTTTCAGGCTACATTGCTTTTGAAAGTTGTTTAAGTTGTTTAGCTTAGAGAGGCCTTTAGATACTAGACTTGCAGGATCTTACATCAATAAAGGATAATTATTGCTGCTAGCACCTCTTTTCTCACTACCAAATGATCAGCACAAATTTGGGGGTTGAAAACAGGGGAGAAGGAAAAGAGAACAGTCCATTAATCAATTTCTCTCCTGGTTTTTTTTCACCCACAGTAATTAGGAGGCATGGAGAAAACTTGAACCATCCCATCCATTCTATGGGATGTGCTTGACATATTCTGCAGCATCCAAAAATGTTACCATCACAGATGCACACCTTTTTTAAATCAACATAGGGCTTCCCTTCTTAATATAGAAAGAAGCCTGCTTCCTTCTCAACAGCAGAACAATTACAGAACCACAGCCTGCGCTCACATGACCAGTCACTAGGCCAGTGATTTTTAGGCAAGATGTCACAACACACTGGAATGCCCTAATCTCCTTTCCAAGTTGCCACAGTACCATGCAATGTTAGCACTATTAGGTGTGCAAACATGACTTACAAAATAAACCCAGATAAATCAAGAATCCATAGCATTATAAACATCCTGACCTGTTGTAGTCTTTCTGAGTTCTTAGCAATGGAAGACATCCTCTATTATTTTTCTACATTCATAAAATTAATGAAAGCTAAGAGGGGTGCCTCATTTTCTGAGTGGTGCCTTGAGTTTAACAAATGATCTCAAGTCTAAAGAGGTTAGGAACCATTGCACTAGACAGTGAATGCTGTAGGACAAAGACTTGTTCTGCACTGATGCACAGAAAATAGCATGACAGGACCAAGATCCTGATTAGGGCCCTCCAAAACTAACTGAATACAAATAAGTACCAAAGGCTTTGAGTCAACCCATGTATACAGGTTTGGTATTCTCTCTCCTTCCATAGGTTGACTGATGCTGACTCCCTCCCTGAACCTTTTCACCCGAGCACATTGATACATGCAGAAGAGTTCACCACGTATGGGGGTGGGAAAGAGATGGTTAAACTGATGGGTTATTAAAAACAGAACACTGGATATATTTTTATTAACCAGCTTTATGTCCTACATTCTTTGGCAGATCCAGAACATTTCCACACAGCAGTAGAATTAGCAGCTATCAATGTCACAGTCAGCTCTTGATCATCACAAGGCTTGGGCTCCCAAGATGGAGCAAAAAAAGCATATCTGTTCATTTATAGGAGAGAGGTAGTTATCAGCTGCAGAAAGACATTTAAAACCTGTGGCTGAACACTTCATCCTCCCTGGATGCTCCATTGCTGACCTCAGGATTGCTGTTCTCAGGCAAAAAAAAAAAAAAAAAAAAAAAAGAAGCAGCAGGAAAAAGCAGAAAAATCTATTGCTCTCAGTATGTTTGAACAGACAATGGTGAGTTTGCACAGATGACTGCAGCCCACAACATTTATAATTATTATTTTTTGCTTGATATTAGTCAGAACTGTTTGTCCATTTGAAATATTCAAGCCTTTATTTTTCTACAATGGCTAAAGGTTGAAATGTCATGTGGTTCTACGAACATAAATGCAAAACAGGGACATGACCAATCTTTGATTCAAATTCCTATAGACTTACTCTATATTGATCTAGTTTAAATGCCACTGTTTAACACAGACTAAGAGCTCAATTCTACTCCCACATATAACAAAAGCAACATTCCTCATTTCTCTTCCCACACCTAAGGCTTCTTGAAAAGTCCCAAGGCCAATGCATCTATACCTGTTTTCATCTGTTGTCAATATGGCCTTCTCCTGAATACTTATTAGGAGGAAATTTTTGGCATAATCTTATTTAAAAAATATCCCCCTCCTCCTGACACACAGACCACTAAAATTCCTGTAGGCAGTACTGTGCATTTTGTTCACTTTAATATGTCCAGTGATTATCTTTATTTTGCGACTCTCAGACAGAATGACCAATAGAACCTGAGCCAGGAGAGTTAACTTTTGTTTCTGGTTCATTCCACCTACTGACTCACACACTTGTAGTATTTTAGTGACAATAATTGCTTATCTTGTTATTGACTATAATTAACTGTTTATTTTGTTATTTCTCTTTTTATACAGGGAAAAGATTTTACCATTAAGATAAAGTTAGTATTTGGAACTAACCATCTATTTCAAATTTATTGCCTAGCATAAATGTATTTGACCTATTGGTCTCTTGTCTTTAGAATTTAAATTTAGTATAAGGAAAACGCTTGTGTAAAGGGTTTGTGGTATGTCTGGTGTGTGTGTGAATATGTCTGGTTTATGTGGAAAGAGGTAATGAAAGACTAAATGATGGACATGTGTGCCAGCAACACAGAGACAGGCCTCTTGCAGCAGGTGAAAATAGCATTTGTGGCATGACGGTTAAGAGCTGTAACAAAATAGTCAGTAGTAAAGGATTACCAAACACTAAATCACGCTCCATCCTGATGGCTGAAGACTGCAAGCAATGGACCCTGAAGATTGCAGACCACAAAGCCAGAAGATCACGACCTACCAATCCCAGCCTGCCAACAGGACAAGAAGGACGGTCTTCGAATCTGACTCCACAAAATCCATAGGCTCTATGGACAGCTATTACTATGAAAAACGAACACAAAGACAAGGCTTTGGGTCTCTTCCACCTGCAAGAAGGCATTTTGGGCGCGTCCAACAAGACCCAACTCCAACTCTCTCGGTCAGCCTGGCTGGCCACCAGACTGACCGTGAGCAACTTTGAAACTTGGTAACACCTTAACCTTTGCAGGACTGTAATTTCTGCGTGTGTGTGTTTGGTTTCTTTGTATAAATAAATGAATAAATTAGTATGCATGGGAATGAGTGAAGCAAATAACTTTATTGTTCTTTATTCTTTTTATGTTGTATGTTTTATGTTCCAATAAATGCAGCATTGTGCCTTATCCCCCTGATAAGATTCCGGCTTGTTTTTAATTCACCTTGTACACCCTGTGTGCAAAACATACTCAGAAAAATCCTATTGCATTAGGATAGCAGAAAATGTAAAGAAACATTTGAATTCAAGCATCCTGAGAACACATGGCATACATTTTATTTTTTTTTGTTTAAAACAATCTCATAAAAAGATTTTTTGTTGAATGTAGAATTTTTAACATCCTGAGGTTTCATAGGGCCCTGAGCCATACGGAACTATGGCAGTGATTCAAGCAAATAACTTACAACCTGGAACATATTTAGATTTCTTTAAAAATGGCATAGTAGGCACCTGACAGATCTGAATAGAAAGCGGAAAGGAGACAGAATGTATTGTACAATGTTGCTTCTTCTGATGACCTGACAGAATTCTAATTTTTGGAGCTTGTCCTGTGTAGCCCTAAGTAGATCAATATCCCCATCAACGAGCATCAATGAGTCACACAGCAAATCACTTCTCCATTAGTGCTCATCTGCCACTGTGCTTACAGCCTCTTGAAACTTTCTAGGCTGTATTAAATTAAAAATTCTGTAACTAGAATTGCAGCTTTGCAAGCTGTCTGTTTGGCTCTTCAACCCAGTTAGGGGAAACCTTGCTCTTGGTATTTTTTTATTCTATTTATTTCTAGTAACCCATGGTCTTGAAGACAGTAGGTTGCTGCTGAACTCCACAGTTTCTAAAGAAACCTACACTGCATGGCTCAAAACTTTGAACAGGTACCAACCATTCCAATGCCCTTGCCCTGCACATTGGTTGTTGGTCATTTTATGTAATGTTCAGTACCTCAGACTACTCTGAAGTTTTAGCTACTTTCACTTCCAAATTAAATTACTCTCCAACTGTTTAAATTTTTGCCTTTCCCCCCCCCCTTCAGGATGTCATCTTCAGCCTCAGCCCCTTGGAAAAAAGATTACTCGGCAGCATCAAACAGCGTCCGAGACAAAGTAAAGTCTATAAAATACTTGAGGCTGTTTCCTGTATCTTTCTTCTCTGGAAGTTACAGATCTGCATGGAAAACCTCTAAGCCCTTCTAATATGATAAAAGAAAATAAACATAAAGAGTCCTGGGGTTGAAACAGCAGAATGGGTATCAGGACTTTAGTTCTCAACATGGATCTAACAAACACTCAAGACACAAATAGAAGCAAAAATTGTCTTCTACCCTAGCCCTATTTTCTTCAGGAGTGATAAAGCAGGTACCTAACCTCTTAGGTCCAAAATCATAGAGGTATTTATATACCTAAAGGCCCTTCTGAATCTGGTTGTTAGCAACTCCATATCCAAGCTTGAAAATCAATACCTACCTTCTCTGTTATTATTTATTTAAGCTTCATATTTGTAAATCATTTAGCTATCTTCAGATGAAAGACATTAAAAAGCCTCTACCTTGTCAAGACAGTGACTACCAGCCATGATATTAATATAAAAGTCAGGACCAAGAACAATCATGCTTCCAATAAGTGTACAAATAATTTATTTAAAATTCAAAACTCAGAGGTACAAACAAAATCTATATAAGAACCAATAACTTCATAAATGTAAACACTCATAGAAAATATATGAACTGTACCAGTTTACCCACCCACCATTCTTCACAGAAAATGGTGAGAAGTATAAAGACAAATCAAGGCCTAATTGTTCTTTCCTTAAGACTTTAGTTTAGGAGGTAGAATACTACTATGAAAGAGGCCTCAAAACATAACAAAATTTACTTCACTGGAATTACACTAAGGGTAAATTTGGCCCAATGTAGTTATACATTTCAGGTAGCTGTAAAAGTGGTTTCCTTATCACTTTTGCTTACCAAACAGCACCAAGATAGATTAAATATCATTCTGAAGCTCCTAGAGCTAGACATTCTGCATTCATTACGTATCCAGAATACCACCTGGCATCCACAACAACTTTTGGTACAAGAGAAATACAGGATTGTGACTATTACTCTGGTAAGTTTTAGGATGGCACTTATACAGTTAAAACACCTGCCCTTTAATACTAATACAGAGTTTTTTGTGAGACTTAAGGATTTTGTGTTTGTTGAAGAGAAGCAAACTTTTAAGATAGCCAAGATTTGCTAGTCTATCAAGGCAGAGGAGGCCAGAAAGGATTCTTTGCAAAACAGTTTTTAGAACACCACATTAGGGAAACGATTTATCGTTCTAGAGGGAAACTTTTTGAAAGGTTTCACTGGACTTGACATTTTCTATATTGGGTGGCACAGTCCACAAGACGAAAAACATATTACAGAATAGGGAAAAAGTTCTCCTTTCCACTTTTTAAAAGCAGAGAAAGTGATCAGTTTTATATTACATTTTGATTCAGGAAATCTCCATTCTGCCTTCTCATGAATGAGGTAAGTGTGCTTGATACATTACCCCTTCAATAAACTAAGGCAGACTTAGAGGAAAGAATCTTTCATTTCTTGGATTTGGCAAGTTCCTCAAACAACATTTCACAACTAGAAATAAGGCTTGGAATTCTGCAGACAATATCTACAAGAAGATCATAAAAATGTAAATACACTATAATATTAAAAAAAAAAAAATCAAATGCAAGCTTAAGGGCATTCCACATTATTTAGGGAAAAAACAAGCTTGTTTATATACAGGCAGACAAACTGCTAAGTGCATTTGTATTTTAGTTGTAGCATGCACGTTGTAGGGCCTTATAAAAAAAAAATCTATAAATAAAAAGTTCTGCTACACTTGTGCCATTTAGTTTATCAAGAGTCCTCCCACCTATTTGCTAAAGGATACTTGTGTTTTTCAATGAGTACATCAAACTTGCAATCTTGCACTGTAGTGAAAGCATATCTGTAAATATGATAATCTACCTTAAATATTTTTTGAGAACTAGTGAGTATCAATCTGAACCTATCTCCTTTAAATCAGTGGCAACAGTGAGGTTGACGCTCCATGCCATCCTACTAGCACTCATCCTCTGTCTACTTAACAAAACAGAACCAAGATAGATTAATAGTCATTCAGAAGCTTCTGGAACTAGAAATTCCACTTTCATTAACTATCCAGAACTAACTGTGCTGACAGTTTTGGATATGAAAGGAACCTAGAAATGCTATTTCTGCCACCTTAAATTATTTTTATATAGAAGTCACAATTTATCCACGATCACCAATAGGAAAACCTTCCCATGTTTTTTCCCCTAAAGGAAGACATTACTTAACATATAAAATCGACTGTCCTCTTTGTGGGTGCTTATATACTTTTAAAATAGAGATGTGTAAATAGGCTTCCTTTCAAGCCAGTATTCCAGTCCCATTTTCTCAAAGTATCACCTGAACCATTCAGTTTACCAAATATTATAACACACTGGAAATTAAACACAACACAGTTGAAATTAAAATGAGCTCTACTCCTGATTATGACAGAGATTGCCTCGATATTAAAACATAAGCATGGCTGAAGGAAACCAAACCATCACGGATTGTAATTAAGAACTGGAGGTACCACCTATGAAGAGAAAATAAGATGTACAAAAATGCAGTACCCTCCAATCTATAGTCAATGTGGATTTTTTAAAAAACGAATACAAAGAAAATCATTGCCACAAAAAACACATTTTTCTATGGACCAAAAAAGAGCTAAACGTATCATGAGAATAAAGGAAAAACTGTATATGTGGAGATCATGCAAGTTACAGGCCAAATCTTGCCTTCTTATTCCAGTGTGTAGTTTCCATTCATTGCTGTTTGTTGGCATGAATACATAGAAAAGACAAGAATCTGACTTAATTACATTGTTAAAAGTTCATGCCAGAAAAAAAGAAGTCAATGTTAATTCACAAATTAAATTATGAAACCAGCACGAAAACTGCTTCTTTGACAAGCCAGTAAGGGCTCAAACGAGCTATTTTTAGCACACATCAAGGGGCTTCCTTTTGCTATTTTTCAAATTTATCTTTCATTGTCTCTTGTTTTCTACAATGCTCTTTAACTCAGGGTCAACATAATACTTTTTCTGCGTATGTACAAACTAATTGCTTTTAACCCTGGAAAAGCTATAGTTAACACAATTTTCACCTCTCAATGGGATTTTTATATGTTCAATTTAGGCAATTTACCTTCTACACATGCAAATGCACTGCACAAGAACAGAAAAGGCTTTTTTCAAACTTCAAAGCTTTTAAAAGTATCAAGATAAAGCTGAATAATATGTTGGTATCTATTTTGCTAATTTTTCACAGCTGACAGAAGCATTGGTTAAAATAAATCATCATGCATATCTGTTTGCAAGTTTCATCATTACAGGGGTTTCCATAGAAAATTAGTTTCACAAAGATATCACATTTTGGCAATTGTAGGGGACCACTTTCTCAGTTTAGATACTGGCAGTACATGAGATACTTAAATGCAAAATATTTATGGTGCCTTTGAGAATTAAACTGGTCAGGAAGTGATACTTTCTTGAGCCAAAGAGATTAACAGAACTGTTAATTATTTTTCCAACATGACAACACACTAAACTGATATGCAGGTCACTAGAGAGGAAACTCATTGCTTCATGTACCCAATCACCAATTCTACATTCCTTCTAAGATTTGGCAACTGTACTGTACGCAGCAGACAAATCTTCTCACCCTTAATTATACAAACTCAATCTTGTGGAACTTGATTGATACAAAATTATTAACCCTCTAAAGGGCCAGTCCCATAAAGTTCAGAGATTCCATAATATCTAGCAACGTAAATGGAAAATGAAGGTTTTATCTTGTTAGAGCTAAAGATCTGAATGCCAAACTAATTATGTCATAGATCTGTTTTAAAACTAGAATTAGATGGAAAGACAAATTCTTCACATGCTACAGCCTCACATTGTCTAAATATAGTAATTATTCAAGTGCCATAACTGTTCGATTAAAACAAAAAAGTCCTTTGATTATCCAATAACATCCTCCTCCAGTCTTTTGGGAAAATGAAGGGTTGTACTATATACAAAGGTAAATTTTATTCTTCAAAGGTAACTTCACCCCTTTGCAGTCAACTAGTCCAACATTAATATATCACTTAAGTCCCATTTAAGCTCTATGTTGAGGGCTCAAATGATGCCTTGGGCTTTGCCAACTTTGCACAGAGTTGAATTCCACGTTAGGAACTGAAACAGACTAGGAATCGAGGTGCTGAAAATCCAGGGTATAGTTATATTTTGTAAGGTTAGTATGTTTGGAAAAGTCCCTTTAAATTGAAAGATGCAATGGTGCTATTTTGCAACAAAGTAGTGCCAAAAGTTAAAATCTGTATCTATTCATGAGATGAGTGCAGCTGACCTCAGAGACATCCACACATGAAAATGGTTGCAGCATTGGTTTTGGATACTGAGAAATGCAACAGTAATGAACTTGATGGTGAGCCTTATAGCAGGTTACTTGACAGTTATTTTACTAACATCTTCTCTCAACTCTATAGCAAAATAATTTCTCCTTGCTACTTTTGTGGCATACTGAGTGCTCCTTTCTTTCCCAGAACAGTGCAGAACATGATGAATAGGGAAAATACAAACACCATTAATAATTCATCTTTTATCACTGCTTGCCCAGAATTTAAATGGAGAACATAACAAAATTAGCTTTGCACATTCATCCACTGGGAGGCATACAGGCCCACAATTAGTATCCAAAACCGACTGAGGTCATCACACACTAAATGCTACCTTACGTGCAATCTAAGTGGAGGGAACCACTTCTGGATTTTCCTCCTAATGTTTACACGTAGACAAGGGCTTGTGGCCCATCACACTAATTAATATCCTGAGATTCATGCATGTTCTGAAGTACCTGCATATGACAGAGAGATTTTTTTTGTAGAGACCAATACCTTTACACAAATCATCAAGCTTCCCACTTCAACCAGAGAAGTAGGGATCCCTCAGAAACTGTTCTCATCTTGTATGTCCTTTTGAAGCCCTTATTTTTAGAAAAGACTTTCACTGACTCCAGCTGAGAAACTCCAGTTTTACCTGAGAAAGAACAAGTAGCTTGCACCATATTGGAGACAAAAAACTCAACACTTTTTTTTCAAATAAAAGTAGATTGCTAATGTTCAAGTCCCCTTAGTCCATGTTTAAACCCCTACATAAGTGGCCTGCTTTGAAAAAACTGCAGAGCTTCAGTTAAAGGAGAAAAACGAAAAATTAATGCCACTGATTTAAAAACCCAAGTTTCAAAGCCCTAGTTGTTTGAAATCTTGGCCAAGATTCTTATTCCAAGATAAAGAGAAAAAAATCTATTAAGCAACCCCTATTGTCATCTCTTCTGTGAGTTGACACTGGTATGTATGCACATAATCTTCATTCTTCCCAACTCTTCAATTCATGCTATTTTTGTAGAGTGAGAACTCAAATTCTGTCGTCAAGGAAAAGTAAAGTCTTACTAAATCTGAGCTATTTTACATATAGGAAAAAACCCCATAATCTTCTGTATTACGCTATGGAAACCAGTTGCTCAGATACAATTCAGCTGGCAAGAAATAAAGTGCATAATGACCATCACTGAGAACTTGCTCATTTCAGTTTAGCACGGTTAGTGTTAATATTCAACTATAAGAGTAGCAAAATGCTATTTAAAGTTAAGCCTTCCTGGTAACATGGGCAGAGGAATCTAGAACAAAATACATGTGGAAAAAAGAATGCCAGTGCTGTATAAATGGGGGGAAGAGAGGTGTTAAATAGGTTCCCTAAATTTCCACAGAGCTCAACTACTAGACAGGTATGCTAACAGGCAGCACCTGAAATGAAGAGTCACACTCTGTTTGTTTTGCTTCCACTACTCCTGAATTCAATTTACAGCTTTCTGGCATCTGACTCATTTCATCTTGTGCAAGTGAACTTAAGTCTTGAGTGTCCACAGAAACTGTGTCAGATAAAGAATCTTGTTTTTCCTCTGAAGCTGCTGTCTGGGGCCTACTTCCTTCTGTCCCATCACTGCAACATGTCCTGTCATCATCCTCTTCTAGCTGCTGAACAGATGTCAGATACTGCTGCAAAAGACTACTGTCTTGCTCGCTGTTAGAGCTCTCCTTACTCTGATCTCCATAGTCTACCAGAGCATCTTCTGCATTGGAAGGACCTTCTGAAACAGAATCCCCAAAATGTTTGACAGTTTCTATAGAATTTTCCACAGGAAAACTGTCACTCCCATGTGTAAAACTATTTTCAGAGCCATGTAAATCACTAATGTGGGTTTGATCAATCATGGAGGAATGAAAGCCAGAGTCTGGGAACTCTGGTAAAAATTTCTCCAGAATAGTTTCAACTACTGAAGCCGAACAGGTAGAACTAACATCAGGAGAAGGTTCTTTAAAGAGATCAGATGACTGAACAGGTAGGTTGGATGAATTCAAAGTACTTGATATAGGAACAGGATGCTGCCAGATTGTATTAAGATTTTGGTTCATTGTAAGTTGCCACTGTTGAAGTGATTGAACCTGCAAACCACAAAAAACAATGTTATGAAACAAGGAAAACAAAGGTATTTGCTAAACCTGGCAATAAGTCTGTAAATAAACCACATAAGACTGGGAGGGATCAAAAAAATAAAAGGCATTCTGCCTAGACAAAGGGAAAGATGCACTTTACATTATGAAACAATGACCCTTATTATTTCTAGCTTAGAGTCTACGCATTGATAGGCATCAACAGAAGCCATATGGAGTCCTCTTTGGACAGAGTATGGTAACTGGATATGTATCAAATGAGAGCTCCAACAAGAGTATAAAAGGCTCAAACCAGGCTCTTGAAGAAGAGAAGTGTGATGCTTTTAAAGGAGACAGCTCATGTTTAGACGTTTCTATCTGGATGTTACAACTATAGATCTCTTTCCACACAGAGTACACATACTTTTGGATACAACATAAAACTGTTAGCTTTAGAACTTAATGAAAAACTAATCCATTGCTTCCAGAGGCAACATGACTTGATGGTCTCAGTGGATACTGGGGCAATCGCCAAATGATTCTTTTACCACACTGAGGATCAACTTAGTTACTTTCTCCAGTATTTTCTCCTTTTTACAATTCCTAACTCAATTTTAAATTTTAGTAATGAAAACTTATCTGGGCCTGATTCTCAACATATTTATTCAAATCCAAAAATGAGTTCCCCTACCCCTGGACAACACAGGAAAAAAAGCCTTAACCTAGATTTAAGTAGCAGCCCAGGGCAGACAGTGGCTTGGCTCCAGCTTTGGCCATGGGCTCCAAGATGAAACCTGAGTTGAGCTCACCTCTGCCAGGGTCTGCCCTGATCAACCCCCTGCCTGGGCCCTACATCTTTTCCCTGCAGCTGCCCCCTCCACCTCCTCTACTCCAACTACCCCCTCCCCTCCTTCCCTTGTGCTCCAGCTCTAGTCCCTCCAGACCAGACTCAGCCAGCTGGGAACTGCCACTGTTTCTCTCTGGCTAGGCCGGGCCCCAGTCAGGGACATGGCTGCTGCACACTATCTCCTAATCAGAGCAGAACCGCAGCAGAAGATAAGGGTGCAGGAAGAGGGGAGAGACAGGGATTGGGATGGGGCAGCCAGAGTCATGATAAGGGGTGGGAAGCAAACTGTAGAGGGGATCAAGGAGTAGGGAGGCAGGGACTGGAAGGACAGAAGCAAGAGGCTGGCAGCAGGGAGGCATGTGAGGGTGCAGGCAGTAGGCAGACCAACCAAGAAAGGGGCAGAGGTCTGGTCCCTCATGCTCTGCCCACTATTCTACCCCCCCACTGCTGTGGCAGAAAAAATTTAAGACCTCTCCCCAATAATTAGGTTCTAGACATAGGAAGTTATAACAAATTTATAATTTTCTATGTACAGAATCTAATTATTGGGGAAGGGTCTTACATTTGAAGTTACCTTGGATTTGGGTAAATACATTTTGCAGTGGTTACGCATGCTTCTTTTAAATTGCTAGTAACAAAACAGCTATCACCAAGTAACTTGCTGGCAAGGTGCCCATTACTCCAAGCCATGGTGGTCAGGGCTACATTCACATTTTTTTCAATATTTACAACTGAAAAGTATGCTTTTTAATTCATAATAGGATAAAAGTACTAAAGATATTTACCTGGTCCCAAAGGTAGCTGATGGCCTCCTCTTGTACAAGTCTTTGAATCTTTTCTTCATCTCTCTCTCTTATTAGTCTAAAACACACAAGATATTTAACTTAATAATGCAATGTTTCCTTGAGTGACAAGACCAACATGTTCCATATAAAAACATTTTGTATAACACTATCGTCTAAAGAAACAACAGAGTAAAGTGTTTAGTCATTCTTCTTAGTTTAGTTTTTTCTTGTCATCACATTCATTTAGCTGCTGGAGTGATTTCAAATACTGTTTGAGAATACCCTTGTGCTTTTTTACTGTTAGTTCTCTTTATTCCATTCTCCATTACCTCCTTAGAGAACTGACATTTAAGAAGGCTGTTCTAAAACAGGGCTAATGTACTGCTGGACAACTTCCACACAACTGCCTATCTGAGGGCTCTCACTTACTTCCGTGGAACTCTTATTGCAGGCACATAAATCATTAAGATGAAGATGGTCAGTCAAGTGAAAGGGCTTCTATATATTGCTTCAGAGTGCTAGTAGCAAACAGTACAAATATTATCCATTAACTAACAAGGCATCCAGTATGCCAGATGAGTTTTGCTTCTTTCCAGCTACAAGGTATGAGCACTTAAACACCAAACCACACCACTCTGAAGCAAGGCTCTCTTCTCTGAAAGTATCACTGCAAGGATATCATGACATTCTGCTTTATTGCATCTCTCTGGTTGTATCAGACTGCTTAATTTTACCCAATGTCAACTCTAATCACCAGCTTTGTAATTTCAGCCTGTACTCCAAGTATCAAACTATCAGATTTCCTGTTTATTTATCAACACCACTAAAAATCCTGTGCGCCAAGCCATATGCTCAGTAATTTGCATGCATCCCAATCTAGGCCAAAGGGGTAACAAGTGTAACCAGAAGTATTATCTTATGGTGAAGGTGTTTCAGATTACTTGAGGGCCTGATTTGAACCCACAGAGAAGGAGTGTCAAATTCATGCAGCCCCATAAGCTAGATGAGTGGCATGGGGTTGGTCGCTGGGCCAGATCAGGCCAACAGACCCTCTCTCATAGCATACCTGATATGGCAACTATTGCAGCCAGTCTGGGACCTGGAGTAGACAGAATGTTCATTACAGACTGGCCAGAGCAGCAATCGAGCTGCATGCAATGGATGCCCACTCTGAGGCATATGCCAGGCATGGCACATTTTCCAGCCCATCTGAGACCTATGCCACACACAGTGTTTGCAGGCACAACATGCAGCATGGAGCACAGGATGGGCTGGAGTAGGTGCCACATGCAGCATAGTCTTGGAGCTGCCAGGATGGGCGCTATGTGGGACATCCACCGCCTTTGCTGCTGTAAGCAGAGTGCACCATACACAGCACCCATTCCAGATGCTCAGGTCCTAGAGTGGCCGCTGTATTAGGAATGCTAGGGGAAGGGGGAGAGGAAGAGGTAGGGGTCCATGGGCAGGATCTGGCTCACAGACCAGCCTTGCACCACAGGCACACATTGTGCTCTGCATCAGTCTAATCAGACCCAGGGGTAGCACCAGGGGCCACACAGCAGGGCTCTGCAGGTTGGGTCCAGGCTGTGGGCAGTATGTTTGACAGCCCTGCCATAGACCCTTTGCTACTTGCTGCGAGGAACAGAACAAAAAGAACTTATATTGATTGTTATACTCTAGGAAGGGAGAGCAGATAGGAAAAATAATTTTAAAAAAATCTTTTGAACTGAGCAAGCCTGACAGGAACTCCATATGAACTATGGAAGCACATCATACTTTTTCAGACTCTCACTTTTCCATAAAGAACTCACATTTTAAATACTGGGAAAAATCTTTACAACACTGCCATCCCTTTGATGATACTAGACAACTCTTCATATTCAGGGCCATACAGGATCTCTCTGATCTCTAGGAGAAAAGGCCTAATTCAGATGTGTCACTAAACTTTTCTGCTCATCTACTAGAGTGCAATGTCTTGGAACCAGGAAGGTGTAAAACTTCTAACCCAAAGCACGCTTGGATAGAGCTAGACAGAGAGAGAGGATGGGATGTTGTATGCATAATTGATTTGAAAGTGGAAGTTGCCTTGTGCTACTGTGTTAGAGGCAGCAAAAGCTCTTATGCATAGGAAAAAGTCAAGCCAAGGAGAGTGTATACTTATTCTGAAACGCATCAAAGCATTTTAATTTTTGTTCTACACTTACGTCAATTCAGACTGGACAATCAGAACGTAAGCCAGGACTTCTTACTTACTTTGCTACTTCATTAGTTAAGCAAACAATGTGCTCTTGCATTCTGCTTAGGCGAATTTCATAACGCACTTCCTTGGCTTTGGGATGGTAGTTCCTTGCATAAAATCCTCTCCAGCAGGCCTGAAGCTTGGTGGCTGCTTTGTTCAGTTTTTGCAATTCACCTGCATCATGGTCCACAGAAGCCAATTCATCAATAGAATCTCTCTTTACAGTGTGGTCTGAAAGAAGAGTTTGTTCATCATTCACTGATGGGATAGAGTAACTCCCGAGAACTTGGTCTACACAGGAGGCTAGAGAGCAGCTAGTACTAGCAGTCAGATCAGCAGCAACTGTTGCTGGATTAAGGAAAGGTAATAATTCAGCCTCTTTATTTTTCTCTTGAGCTTCTACAGATTCTGTTGCTTTGATGGAGCACTCTATTGTAACCCAAGAAATCTTTTCTTGTTTGTTATCTGCACTCTCCTTATTAACTTCTTTCACAAATTCAATCACTGTAGCATCATCATCTTCCATGTCTGAAGTGATTCCATGTAGTCTCAGTTCTGTAGTTGGAGATACAGGAGACAATCCTGAAGCAACAGGCATAAAAGTAGACTCGGAGGAGAGAAGACTGCTGTTCAGTTTGTCTTCATCAGTCTGTATATCTTCCAGGTACAGCTCTTTGCGACAACTTCTTTCAACTGGAAAGGCATTCTTTGCTGCGTAAGAGTGATCATCATTGGTGCTTGGCCCAACCCAAGAATTCATTTGGATAACAGGTTCTAGGGGAACAAAAAGCCAAATTTAAGTTACGCTCCATTTAAGTAATATAATTCATTTAACATTAGGAGGCCTTCATCTTCTGTTTTAATTAAGAATCCAGCGGTTACAGTAAGGTGCAATAACTGCAATTTAATGCTGATGTAACACTAGCACACGGAAACCTAAGGGGCATTTTTACATGTGCTCCAGGATGGGGTGTTTTAATTAGAGCTGCTTTAATTAAAATGCCTGCAGAGTTATTGGATAATATCTGTACCATTTGCTACTAGTATTCAGCATCGTGTGTATTCAGCATCCCATGTTTCAAAATGGCGGCGAGGGCACTTTAACTAAAGCTTTAAAGTGCCCTCGCCACCATTATGAAATGTGGGGACACTGTATACACAAGACACTGCAACGGCCTGGAGGGTTCTGATTAGAACACTTCAGAAGACTTAATTAAATCAGCAGACTACTTGGAACTGGATTTACTGAATCTGGTCTGACGCATTAACTGAATCTGCTTTGACACATTCAGAATGCATCGGAGCACGTTTATAGGTGCCCAAAGTGTGCTGGTCATGGTAAACTATATACACACAGCAAAAGACAGCCCCTTCCTGAAGAACCTCCTACCTAACAAGATAGAGCAATCAAAGTAGCAAACACCAAAAGATGTGATATACTAAATAATAATAATCTTTTCACTATTTTAGTAATTACTGCTTTCAGTATACAAATAAAAGTCAGGGACATGAGGTTAGGAACCAAGATGTAGCCAGAATTGCATTGCTTCAGTTAAAAAAACAAAATCCAGACACATTAAAGACTGGAAGGCTCTGTTCAAGGGGAAGGCTATAACCCTAATTGTTTCCCACAATGGTATTTGCATACAGATAATTCCACTTATTGCCATACACAGCAGCACAAGAATAAATTTGGACTTTACCACTTTCAAGGACTATCTGTGGCCCCAGGGCGGGACTGCTTTGTTCACACACAAGTGACACCCCTTTGTTGGGAGTAGAGGATGTAATTGGTCCTTCATTTTGGCTTTGGTACATCAGTTGCCTCTGGTGGAGCCTGAGCAGAAACAAAATGAAATCATTGTGAAAAAAAAAACCAAAACTCTCTTTCAAAACGAGATCTGAAAGCAACTAAACTTTGAGTTACTTTATGGGGAAGAAAAAAAAAAGATTAAACCATCTGAAAAGAAGGGACTGATCAAGGGAAATACTGTACATGCAAGAATCCAAAGTAACTATTCACAAGAACAGATTCACAGGACCAGGTCCCAGGTCTGTCAAAATTAAGTGGTCTCCTTTCAAACCTCTGAGTTTTATAGAACAGTACTTCCTAAATGCTTCTGTTACATATGATATTGATGGAGAAAGAGAAAATGTTCTCACCTCTGCTTACTTAGTATTTTTTCCAGTTTGGCATCCTCTTCAGTCTGGAGACCATACGAAGAAATAAGAGGACAAACAGTGGCAAGGTACTGAACTAACTGAATGTGCTGCCCAGGTCGATATGATCGCCCTTTACCTTGACTATAAAGCCATTCTGCTTTCAAACTGGGAGAAAGAAAAAGAGGAGGTAATGTCTTTGCATAAAAATCCAAACTAGAACACGCAAGTAATTTTCTCACTGCAACTCTTTGGTTACTTTTCTACTAATTGGTGCCTATGCCACGCAAATCCAAACCCTGCATTTTCACAAAAGCTAGAGACATTGGGATCTTCAGAAGAGTTGGGGGAAATATTGTCTCCCGTACAAAAACAGGGCGTTGAAGATAATTTACTGCAACTGTTACTCTGATCCATGAATCAGTTGCAACCTTGGCCCATATCTTCTTCATTTAGCTCTTAACATTTTATTCACTTCACTTATTATCATGCCCCTTTTTTTGTATCCTATCAACATCTGAATGTGTCTATTAATAGAGATGTTCAAAGCAGTAATACTCTTCAGAGTATTCACAGAAATCAAATCTGAAATTTTAAAATTGGAAGCAGCACAATGAATATCATGCCATATTCAGAAATCACATTTTGAACATCATATGTGACAGCAGTGACAATGAACGTTTAAAATTTTTTTAAAACAGTGAGTACGGTAGCAATTAGAGACTTAATTTCTGATCATCTGGATTTACCATTGCACACAAATAAGTTTTAAAACTTATTGACCAAATAAAAAAAAGAAATTTTTAAAACGCTTTCACCTTTCTTTCTGAGAAATCACATATCCATCTAGAACTTTAAGGTTCAAACACCAGCTGACAATATAGGGTCGATAGTCAAATCCAGGAATAGAAGGCGTAGCCATCACACAAGGGTTGCTCATAATTGACAACTGCTCCAATTGAGGAAGAGAAGCCAAGAAAGAAATCTGAAATAAAGAATATCTTTGTTGATTAAAGAGAACTACCTGGTGTTCACAATATACGAAACATTTCTATTGCCTGGACATCTGAGGCAGAACAGCATTTGAAATGCAAAAATGCATGTTGGAAAAAACAAAAAACCACCCAAACAAACAAACAAACAAACACACACACACACACCACTACCACCCTGATCCCAGTCGGAACACTATCACTAAGTCACTTTCCTGTAATACGTTAGCTGCCATTACCTTTGGAAAGGATCACCTCATTTTTGTGTCTTGGGGGAGTGGAATTTTTGTATATTTATATCATTCTGATTCAGAACAAGTGGCAAAGATGGCCTTATAAACATGGTCACACTCACCAGCAAAGATGTACTTATTTAAAGAAGAAGAAAGAAGAATGAGCATCCGGCCACATTAAGGGATTCCCTCAACAATGCTATGCTGACAATACTCACAAGATTTATTCACAAAAACATTAAAAGAAACCATAAAAGAACAATTAACTTCTCCCTGTCTGCTCCTTGATAAAGAAACAGAATCAAAACCATAAATGTAAATTTTGAGGCAGTTCAGATCCAGAGTAAGCCTATCATTAGAACAGAAATTACTTGTAGCATTTTTCAGCAGCAAAGGCCTGCAGCTGACCAGTCTTGTTTTTAATCTGTTCAATCCAGGGAAAAGACAGCTGTGAATAGTGTTTTATGAATTTGTAGGCAGCATCTGAGCCTGGGACTATGCGTTAGGCATCCTTGAGCAATGGAACTAGGAAATTAAATAAATAAAAACAAATTAAAATAAAAAATGAAATAAAAGGCTGGCTGGAAGTTAAAACAGCGCAGCTGTGGTTGGGGAGTGAGGGGCCTGGACCCATGTTCTGTGAGCAAAAAGGGGGCAGAGGGAGCTCTGATTTTCCATGATAAAAAATTGAAAATCAAAACATTAATGAGGCACTGGTAGGCTCCCAAATTGTTTTAAAATTGTAAATAGATCAATAAAACTGTGTTCAATTGATATCTATCTATAGTAGCATTTCATATTAATCATGGATTTTGGGCTTTTTAATCAGACAATATGTTGGGGGGGGGGGCGGTTTAAATCAGAGAATTTTTATCAGAGAAAACCAGGATACCTGGTTATTACAAACACCAATTACCAATAGTAAAAACCTTCAGCAGTCTGTCAGATTTGAAGAAAATAAAAGGCTGTTTTACTTGTGCTCTGAGTATTTTGCTCTCAAAAGAACTACACAACTAGCCTCTTATTTTAAGTTAAAAACTTTTTATGCTAAATTCTCCACATTTGTTACCTCATTTAAGTCCCTGATTTCATTTTCTGCCAATGAAAGAATGGTCAGACTTTGAGGTAGGCAAACAGGGGCTGTGCGAAGAGAAGTTATAATATTTCCATGGAGCAGAAGAGTCTATAAAACAAAAACACCATCATTAAACATTACCATTTTGATCAAAATGTTTTTCTTAATAGCAACAGCTTCAGAGCACAAAATTGTGACTCAACAAGTCAAGAGTGAGTTTCTACAAACAGATTTTTGCTGGGAATAATCGTACTATTTAAAAGCAGAATTTTCCTATATAAAAATCAGTTTTATAAAGGGTGGGAGTCATTTGTTTTTAATATCTGTAGTTAGAAACTTCAGTACTACTTTTGGCAGCCTTGGCCAAATCACCAAGTGATTACAAGAGAATCATAGCCACATTTTTTTTCATCTTTAAAATGGGGATAATAATTCTTAACTTGACAAGTAGGTCTGCATGACTAGTTAAAATAGCATGGGCCTGGATAATAGTGTTAACTGATATGCTGCTTTTTTAAAGAGATGACAGACAGTAGAAAGGTAACACCGCATTTACCTTTAGAGATGTAAGCTTGGAGAGATCTCCTATTTGAGATATATTATTATCTGATAGATCAAGATGTTGAAGAGATGCGCAGCTGTTGATCTGATCTGTCATCTACAACACGAGATATAATGAGAAATCAAAAACCTCTCTTCTCTGTCATTAAATGAGAATTTACAATTCTGCAATTCTTTCTGAAGCTTATAAGTCTCAATAAAACAGCCAAGAAAGCTTCTAATTTTCAATTATGAAGAACTTTGGTTAGGAAAAAAAGTATGTTTAGTAAATGATGTTGATTTTTAAAATGACCCAATTCTCATTACAATTTTGTGCTTTACTTATGTATGCCAATTAATTGGAGATCACTTATTCAAATACTGGAAAAAAAATGCAACCCCTAGAAGGGCTTTTCAGTTTCCCACTGTATTCTGATACCAGATTTTGAAAAGCTAAAAAAATAGATATTTCACCTTCAGGTTATTTCCTGCCAGGTTTAGCCATTCCAGGTGCACCAGATCCTTTAAGCCCTCCACGTAACCAATGCTATTGTGAGGCAGATTTAGTACCTGGAGCTGAGTAAGTTTTGCTACACCCATCATTCGTACCAGCCGATTATTGGCCACTGACAGCTGTAGATAAACATGCAAAAAATGTTTAATGTTTACTACAAAATGGTTCACACAAAACAGGTTAACAAATGATAACATAAGATCTAGCTCTTATCTTGAAATGTTAAATATACAGTCCAACAGACTATACAGAATGATGTTATTTCTAAAGAGTAATGTAGCCCAGACAAACCACAAGACCATTCAACCTGAATTGTGCACTAAAATTTAAGAGCTCATTTTGTTATACAAGGCAAATTCACCTGCCGTGTTAGATAATGAAACTCAAGAGAATGAAATGAAGAATAAATTAGAGTCATTGTTTCAGGTGGTAAAAAGCATTTTAAAACTGCCTTGCAAAAATAACTGCGGGCTCATCTACACGTGCTCTTTACTGCAGAGTAGACTAATTAGCTCTGCAGTAAAGTGTCACTATCTACATATGCACTGGTATTAGGGTGCAGTAAACTAATTAATTGTGTTGTAAGATATTACTGTTCAGGACAGTACTATCTTATGGCATAATACTTACCTACACTGAAATCCACATGTAGACGGCGACTGGGTGGGGGCCAGACCTCTGCACGCTGCCTAGCTAATTGCTCCACACATTTGGCACTCCTGTGCTCCAGCAAGCCCCTCTGCTGCCATCACCCAAGAGCCCACGGCTGACTCCCCAAGTCTCCTGCCAGCAGGGCTCTGCTCTGGCTCAAAGTGCTAATGTCACAGGTGCATATGTAGACACTGCTCCCAGAAGCACTGTACTGCGGCTCAAACTGCCCCAGAGTTTATTACATTGCATTACAGGCACAAAATTTACTTGCTCATCTTCTTAATGAAAGATTAAAAACACACACACGCATCCCTCTGTCCCAGTGAAAAGGGAGCTTTAACACAGTTTTAAACATTATAATTTTTAACATTTTCTAGTGAAGTTTTAAATTGTTAATTATTTACATGTTTTTGTACAGTTGAAAGAGAATACAGGACCCCACACATAGTAGCTACAATAATTGTAGTATATCGATGCAATCTAAAACATGCAGGGTGCATCTACAGATGCAATTAATGCAACATGATGAACTCTGGGGGAGTTCGAGCCAAAGTACACTCCAGTGTCACAGATCATCTCCCATGTGAGGATCATTGGCACCTCAATACCAGACCTTGTTCCTGGCCCACAGTGGCAGGCTCATCTACTTCTTTAAGAGCTACTTGATTTCACCATCTGCTTTTCCTCAGATGCATCTTGGGGACTGCTGATCCTCTCAGTATGAATGAGATATGAGGGGATGAGAAAGGTGTTCAGGGTACTTATCTTCTGCCAAGGGGCCAATAGGGGGGAGCTTAACTCGTGGGCATCCTGCACAATCCCTTGGATGGTCTCTTGTGGCATGTCTCACCCAGTGGCCAGTGGGTGTGCCCAGGGAGAGGTGGCTCTCGCTCTCCTTCAAGTTAACCACCCCTCCCCACTTCAAGAACTTGCCTGCTAGGGTTAAGACCCAGGCAAATGTCTACCATACCAGTCTAGGACTAAAGAGAGAGGTCAGAGTGGAAATGTATTTATGGGCTCTTAAATATAGCACCATCAAGCAGTAAAATAAATAATGTCTTAGTTATAGTTACAAAAGGGCCTGTAATGCAGCTTGGAAAAAAGTAATTGTTCTTTCTTTCTAATGTTATTTGAGAAGAAACTATAGAAATTACAGTTAAACCAGGAACAGTAAAAAAAACTGAGTATTAGCTCCATCCTAAATATAACATAGGGGCTTTGAGAATGGCTGTTTACAGAAAGGAATGTTCCCTTATGCCAATACTGAGAGCACAGAACTTGAAAAAAACAAAAACACTTAGTATAGCTTTTCTTATGTAAGCCATTTAGGTGATGCCAAAACACTGTTCTTCATGTCTCTTGAAGGCACTTTTAATAACTACTGAATGGCTTGGACTTGTTAGAGCAGTGATGCTCAACCTTCAGCTTGCGGGTCATATCTGACCCCCAAAGCAACTGAATCTAGCCTGTGGGATGAAGGAAATCAGTACTGCCCCAGAGCAGGAGTCAGCAGGGAGAAGGGCCAATCTGGAGGGTGACTCTGCAGCGTGGATAAGAGAGCACTATGGACTGCCAGAACCCTGCCAAGCCACCCAGTCCCAGACATGGATGCCTTGCCCTGCCCTGCCCTGCCCAGCCCAGCACAGGGACCAAGGCTTGCTTCTTTGGGCTGCCAAGTGCCAGTGAGCCACAGCTATGTAAGGTACCCTGCCCAAGGATGTTGGGGCTGGAGAGCACAAGACACAACTCCTGGTATGGCCCCAGTACAACACCAGGACTCAGAAAAGGATTGACCTAGGGTCCGGTGAGCCCAGCCAGCTCTTTCTCCCTTGGGGCTGTAGCCACTAGGATACCCAGGTTCCTGCATCAGCTCTCGCTTTCTCAGTATGTGGGGCTGAGCTTCCTGACCTACCAGCATTCCATCCCATGTCCCAGGAACTGCCACCACTGCTGCCCAGAGCAGATCTGGACTGGGAGAGACAGTTATTAACAGCCCTGCTGTCAGCGGCAGAAGGCAGGGGCTTGGGGTACCATAGGCTGTGCATCGCATGTCCAGGCTCCACCTGTGATAACAATAAAGCCAGAGGCTGCAGGCAGCGAGAGAACCCAGAGGAAGGTGCTGAGGTCTAGCCAGGGGCTGGTATCTTCAAACCCATCCTCACACATCTAGCAGTAGCTGCCAAGAACCCAGCCCAGAATACCAGCAGCAAGGCACCTGCCCTCCCTCCCCCCCTCCCCCTTCTCGTCTACCAGAAAGGAGTGGCAGCCCACACCACAGCCAGGTGGCAACGAACCAGCCTGCTCCTCTAAAACAGTGTTTCTCAACCCATGGGTCGCAACCCAAAAGTGGGTCACAACAATATATGGAAGTCACGAACAAACTTTAAATATGGATCAAACAACTTTAAAAATGGATTCTCCTTTAAAAGAGAAAAACGTGGGAAACTGTGGGTTTTCCCTTGCAGGCTGTCAGAATTGCAGCCTGGAAGAGGCTGCTTGAGCCCCCTTCCCCCCTCACCATCCCACACACATCCCCAGGAGTCAGGGTCAGAAGTGAGGGGCATTGGCAGGGCCAGGGGGCTGTTTTCTACTTACACTGCTCACTGGGTTCACTGGCCATCAATGTTTACAAATGAGTCCTGGTACAATAAGATTGAGAACCACTGTTCTAAAACACTGAGCACCACTGTGTTAGACAGATCCTGTAAGGACCAACCCCCTCATCCTGCAAAAGTTTACGTGTGTGCTTAACTTAACTAACAAGCATAAGCCCATCTATTTCAATGAAATTATTTCTAATGTCAAAGTTAAATATGCTTGCAAGATCAAGCCTAAATAACTCAGGACATCAGGAAGGGAATTTAGAACTTTCTAATTTTACATTAAACATTTTTGCTACTTGTTTTACCCCATTTACATTTCTTTTCCCCCTTTAACTCAAATATATATTAATAATAATTTTATATTACATACTGTATTTTATACCATATGCTAAATATCATGTTAGTAAATAAGTAAAAAAGGATATCTTGTAGCCTGGAAGTTAATGTACACAGCAAACTGCCTGGGCTTTCATTTTATATTACATATTCCTCAGATGCATTGCCATGAATTTGTGGGTACTGCTCCAATTTGTGATCATTTATTTCCAGATTTTACAGCTGCAACAACAAAATGTTATTTAAACAAGACAGATGAATCAAAGGTAAAAAACAGGTTATACTGAAAGGAGTCCTGAGTAAAAGATTGCAAAAGCACAGGATGGGGGAATCATCAGTGACAAGGGGTGTAACTAAAAGCAATGAGATTCAAGGTCTATACCTAGCTCTGCTGCAGTATGAGACTTCTTGAGTCACTTAACCTGTATGTATCTCAGTGTCCCCATCAGTAAATTGAGAAAAAATATGTAAGCTTCTTTGTGAATGCTTTTGAAATATGAAGATGACAAATGCTATTCTTCAGTTATTACATACAGAAAAGCTTTTGTCAGAAAAACATTACTAAGGCTGTGAAGTCAAGCATTCAAAGGGAAGGAAGGGGTAGAATAAAAGCTATCTGTGACTTCACTAGGAATTGAATGCTCCCAGCACTTCACAATATCCAGATATGTGAGGAAGTTCAGTTCTAACATCTTTAAAAAAAATTCTCAGATTACACAGGTAACTAGAGAAACAACTTATACGATCGTCAACTGAAGACCTGCATTGAAAACATGTCTTTCCACTGTAAGACCTCTCTTGTTTAGATATATAAAAAATGGCAATTCATTCACATCAAGAAATGGAACTTTTAAGACTATTAACTGCATACTGCAGCCCTAAATTGGAAGTATTTTAATAAACGTAGTGCGATTAACTCATGACCCGCAACAGTCAAGTAACACTGACCTGCATCAGGTTTCTGCATTTCTCCAAATGCTCCAATTTAATTATTTGGTTTTTATCCAGAATCAGAGTGTGAGTATCAGCATCGCACGGTAATATTGGACCCAGCTTTTGTAGCCCTTGTCCTGACCAGTTAACTACCAGACCTTGAAGGAGGAGGGAAAAAAAGTGAAATAAAGTATAAGCACATGCACTGTAAAGCAAAAGAAACAGTTTTGCATTCCTGTAATCAAATTCTATCATTTAAATCTCTAAGACTGCATCTCATAAATATTTCATACCAAATACATGAGGTTCAGTGGTTTGGCTTAGGAGGCTGGCATTTGAGTCCCTGTGCTAACACGCATTGTCTGCACGACTGCAGGAGACTAGACCGATAAAAGGACTCTGTCATCAAAGACAGACTTGGATTTAGACACTAAAATTGTACTAAGTGTCATAGAATCATAGAAAAATTAGGGCTGGAAGGGACCTCAGGAGGTCATCTAGTCCAGCCCTCTGATCAAAGCAGGACCATCCCCAACTAGATCATCCCAGCCAAGGCTCTGTCTAGCCAGGTCTTAAAAACATCAAAAGATGGAGATTCTACCACCGCTCTGGGTAACTTGTTCCAGTGTTTTACTATCCTCCTAGTAACAATATTTTTCCTAATATCTAACCTAAACTTCCCTTGCTGCAACTTAAGACCATTGCTCTTTGTTCTGTCATCACTGAGAAGAGTTTAGCTCCAACCTCTTTCAAACCCCGCTTCAGGTAGTTGAAGGCTGCTATTAAATTCCCTCTCCGTTCTCCTCTTCTTTAGACTAAATAAGCCCAGTCTTTCCTTGTAAGTCACGTCCCCCAGCCCCCTCATTTTTGTTGCTTTCCACCAGACTCTCTCAAATTTGTCCATGTGTTTTCTGTAGCGGGGGCCCCAAAACTGAACACAGTACTCCAGATGTGGCCTCCCCAGTGCTGAATCGAGGGGAAGAATCACTTCCCTTCATCTCCTGGCAACAGTAGAATCCTCAGAACTCCGACCTCAACTCATATACAAGTCTAACTTTTCACAGTCAAACTACCCAAATGCCTAAACTCTGACTCTGTACAGCCCAAAAGTTCCTCCATCTTGTCAGGACTGAGATGCTTGGCACCCAATTCATGTTGACACTTTACTGGAATCTAAGAACAAGGCATTTCCCCACCTAAGCCCCATGAGGGGCCAGATCTAATAAGTGTGCTCAGAAAGTGCCTAATACAACTCAGCAGGATACCCAACATAAAAAGAGAGCCATTGCTTTCCTTCGAGAACATGACCAGAAGAAGAGGAGGTTGTACTGCTTTTTTTTGTTTAATGGAATAGACCAGAGGCTGAAGCACTTGCTCAGGAGCTGGGCTCAGTGTGCTCTTCAGTCTGAGGGGGCCCAAACTTACATCTCTCACCTCCAAGAAGGGTGCCCTGACTACGGGCAACCCCCACTTAATGCTGTTTCACTTAGTGCTATTTTGCTAAAACACTCATTTTAAATTGATACCCGATTTCACCTAGCACTCAGCGAGTTTCGTTATAATGCTCGCAGTCACCATCTTGGGTCATAAAAACAAGTGCAGTTGTCATTTTGGGTCGTCAAATAATTGTGGTTTCGCTTAATGCCCGTTTCACTTAATGCTTGTTTTTTCAGGAACCAATTAAGAGCGCTAAGCAGGGGCTGCCTGTACTAGATTACTGGCTATTCTGGGGCAGGGAGCATGCTCCACCTTTCCTACTGAGATTGCCACTACATGGATGGGGACTCAAAATGTGCTGGGCCAGAAGGAACAGGTCTGACCCTCTAGGACAGGCCTTGTGGTTTTCATCTGAGCAAGGGGAGACACAGATCTGGGTTTCTATTAAAAGGACTATTTATTTTATGCCTTATTTTATATTACTGGGGCCCCAGTGGTTCAGTGACTCGTGTCTTCTCCAGTCTGTCTACCTATGCTTCAAAAGGAAAGAGCCTCGTGGTTCTTTTCTGGGCAATTGGAGATGCGGGTTTGAATCTCCTCAGACTGAGGAAGACACTGAACCTGGGTCTTTCACGTCTGAGATGCATACTTTAAGCCAGGGGTTCCCCAACTGTGGTATGCATACCTCTGGGAGTAGGTAAGACATCCCTGAGGGTACGCGGGAGAAACTGTGTAATGGCAGATTTAATTTTCATTATTATAATGACTGGTAGTTAAGGGGTTAAATACAAAAGGTATGCTGGTAGGGCTATGTGGGCAGCCGGTAAGTGGGTACACAATAAGAAAAAGTTTGAGAACCTCTGCTCTAAGCATGAAGTCAGGGGTTCTCAAACTGTGGGTCGCAACCCCCCAGGGGGGGTCTCGAGCAATGTAAAAGGGGGTCGCAAACTTCTCTTCCCTCCCCAACGCACAAGCACTCTGCCTGCTTCCCTACCCCAGCAGCAATGAACATGTTCTTGGACTCACCCACACTGGAAGTGTCTCGTTTGTTTTCTAATCTCAAGGTGTACGGGTTAGTGAAGCTCAGTTGTTATCTGTCAACAGTTCGATTGACTGCATGAAATTGAGCGCAAGTTTTTTCAGCAGTTTTTTTCCCCCCCAGCAGTTGCCGCTATAAAGAGCAAATACCAATCAAAGATAAATGCGGAGCACGAAATGAGACTGGCAGTCTCGAAAATAAAGGCCAGGTTTGAAAAACTAAGCAGTACCAAGCAAGCTCATCCTTCTCACTGAAAACTATTGACAGTTTTAAATTTGAGAGTGGTTTTTTTTAGCGAAACAATTTTGAATTTGATACACTTTATAAAGTGTTTTTTGACAAATACATTTCATTTAATGTACAAAGATAAATGTGCTTTATTTATCTCCTACCTAATCCGAATGAAAGCAATAGCTTTAATTAGGGTGGTGGGGGAGCGTGTACATGTATATATTATTTTAACGGGTCACAGTATCCCAAATTTTGAGAAGCCCTGCATTAAGCTATTGTACATCAGGAACAAATTACCACCACTTCCTTCTCCAGTCTGTCTACCTATGCTTCAAAAGGAAGGCAGACTTTCTCTCTAGTTTTCAAAAGGACTGGGGCACCTAATGCAAACAGGTGCCAGACTGCATATTTTGAATAAATACAGACACCGCCTTGCACAGCAAACTGGCAGCTGAGAAACTCATTCAGAGACACTTCACTTGCCTACATATTCTAACAGTCAGAATAGAGAGCTGAAGTGCTTCACCCAAAAGCAGTTATAAGAAAGTTTAACAGGAGGCACACCTGCCCACACAGATCACAAACTCAGACTATTAAGAGCACTACTTGGCTATAATGCCAGACAGCAATGCATGAAGGCTGTTATGTGAGTCTCGGTTCAGAAGAACAAACATGGATGTCACAGTATGGCACTGCCTGGCACCAGAATAGAATAAATAATATAGATGTCCCTAAGTCTAGTGACCTGTGGTCCAGACAGAAAGGGCTGCATATCTAGTGGGGAACGGACCATTCCCCAAGTGCCAGCTAACAGGGATTTGAACTGAAAAACGGGTGTCAATCGGTAAAAAATGAATGACTTAAAAAACAAAACAAAAACCAGGGAATCGATCAGTGGAAAAAAAAAAATCGGTAAAAAGTGAGAATGCAGAACACTACCCATGTCCTATTTGCGCCACATCTAAATCACTTTAACTTTTCTAATTACTTTCATAGATTCATAGATGCTAGGGTCGGAAGGGACCTCAATAAATCATCGAGTCCGACCCCCTGCATAGGCAGGAAAGA